GACTTAATATTTAGCAGAAGAAGTCCGGCTGTGACTCAGCGACTTTTTCACTGGGGGAAAAAAAACTTTAAGTGTGTGTGTGTGTGTGTGTGTATGTGTGTGTGTGTGTGTTTGTGTGTGTGTGTGTCACTGTGTGGTGGAATCTGGAGCTCGTCAACGTTTCTAGCATAATCTTAAGCCTGTTTATTTGTTTTACTTTCAATGAAAAAAACTACTCATCTGTCTTGAATAGAAGCTGAGATATTTGCAAATTGAAGGAGGTGAGGGTCACATGGGTTCAGAGATTAAATTTGCGAATAAATAGCCTCTAAAGTTTGGTTATGTTCATAGCTTGAGAGTCGGTGAAAGTTAGAGTTTACGATAATTTTCTGTGCCTTCAATCAACGTTTTGCAGTAAAATCCACACGAAATTGTGTTCTTAAATTGACATAAATTATGGTGTTGAGTCAAAAAAAAGAAGCTTCAAAACCGGCGGGAAAAAGCTAGTTTCTTCAAGTTCATTATTGAAGAGCGCCTGATTTCACCACTCTAATTCAGAAAGAAAAGAAAATATGATAGTTGTATAATATTATTATAATATAATTGTGTGGAAAAACCCTGTGTCTTGACTGGTGATGGGAAATGTAAAGGTGTGATATAAAAAAGTGAGTAAGAGTAAAAGTTTTACGCCCCTATCTTTGTTAGGTCATTTAAGAGTCAGAATCAACTATTTTAACATCTGTCTTCGATACCACCGAGCTGGACCGCCAGAAAAACGCCACAGAACGATTAGGGTGCAAGAATGTTCAAACTGGGACTCGAACCAGGGTTATCCAATCTGTATCCAGTATGTTACAAACTTGGCTAAGAAATCAATCTAAGCCGTGACGTGTGGTAGCAAGGTTTGGGGGAGGTTGTGGTGGTGGGGGGGGGGGTAGGGTTAAATTTTTGGTTTTAGTTGTTTTTTTCCCTTCAGAAAACATACTTATACTTGTAGACAGACATGCAGAGAGAAACGCAGACAAACAGACGTACCATACAGATATTCAGACAGACATACCGACAAACAGACATACATACAGACGAACAAACAGACATAGAGCCCCACCTCTGCGTCGCTTTTCTTGTGGCCCAGTAGTGCCAAAAGAGCCGAGAAGACTTGCATCACAGCCTTGGGTGGGGAAGCCAGAGATTTCAGCTCTCTCAGATCTCCTGGTGGTGGAATGGTTGGCATGTTGTCGGTTGTTTGTGCCTCTCTTCTCGGCTGACCTATTGTTAAACAAACGTGTGGAACAGGTGTGAAATGTATGTATAATAGATATTATTTCTGTGTTATAAATATAATGT